TCCTTGAGCAGTTATCTGAGGATCACACGTTTGGCACCAAGCTTTGGATGTATTATATCGATAACAATGTGCACATTCTCCATTAAAAATATTTTTAACTTTCGACATAATCAGTTATGAGATAAAGATAGTTAGTTTAATGAGCTGTAGATCCATAAGTATCGTTATAACATGCTACGTAACACGAATACTATTTTTATTTATCGCCTAATGCAAGTGGATGTATCGCCTAATGCAAGTAGATGTATCGCCTAATGTGGATGCTAAGGATTCCTATTAAAATCCCATCAGTATCCAAAATTTTCGAAAAAATAGACAGGATTATAATGCCAACGGGATTTTGAACGCTAACGGAACAGCACCGCACCGAAAAGTACATTTAGAACAGTGTTGGTCACCTTTATAAGTCCAAATTTGAATTTGAATTGGACTTATATATTCCAATTGGAATCTATAAGTCCAATGTTCAATTTATAGACTCAATTTAATAAAGTTGGTCCAATTGCCCAACTCTAATTTAGAAAGTGACCAAAAAAACAATTATGATTTTTACAGATTAAAATGGAATCGAGACCTTTGTTAATATAAATGCTTTAAATAGCAGCCACTAATTTTTAAATTCTACATTGCAAGTAGGCAATTATTAAAAATAATCTGCATTGGCAATGGATTACTTATATTGTTATACTAAGTTATAACATTGTGAAAGAATCATAGATTTTATTGATAAATTTAATTATCATTACTACAAGTTCATTCAGTTATTTCACATTTATATTCTTCACTATTTTGATAGTAATATTTTAATGCTTAAATAATGTGAATGTTAGTTAAAATGTATGTAATAAATAAAATATATAAAATAAAATAATTGCTTAAAATTGATTATCCATCGAAATAAGCAGGATCCTCATTTGCCAGCATTTTGGATTCAATAATCAAAATCACATTATTTACATTGTAAACGTCTATCATACCAAAATTTTCCACATTCATCACATATCCACATTGCAAGCGACAGCAACTTTTAGGTTCGTATACTTCACCAGGTTTACAATAGTTTGAATATACATCAAAATACAACTCTATACATTCAAAATTTAATAAATAATAATTTATAAAAGGTTAATTTATAAAGTTAGCAAAAGTTGAATAGATTTAACATCTTTATTTTTAAAGATGAAAGCATACCGATGTTAGACCATTCATTCCATGCACTGCATATTACCACTCTCAAGTCATAACCTGCAAACACTGAGAAGCTGGCAGCTTTATTATAGTATTCATTGAACTAGATACATCGATCGAGAAAGCATAATCAATCGCGACTTGACAGAGATTTCTATGCATTTGAACTTACAGAATAGTTAACGATAAGATTGCCAAGAGAGATAGAAAATATAATAATCTTCTTAACAGCTAGAATCCTTCAAAAATGTTACGTAACTGAGTTTAAATTTCACCGACCTAAAGTCATGTTCAAATTAAGAAGCTTCGTTGAGTAATACATATGGGCTGATTTACAGAATTGCTAATAACTTTTGATGTACTGATCCATTTTGAATAATTTTATTACCAAAATGTTGGTCTTGATGAGACGGTTCTAATGAATCCAAAATCGTCAAAA